TGGGCTGTTGTCCGGCACATGTAATACATTCCCCGGTAATTTTACCTGCTGCTTGAGCGAATCCGATGTGTTACCAAGCATTCTCTCGCGAACCGCTTCATTATGTACATACTGCGGCCACTTAATTTCTGCGTCGATGATCAAATATCTGGAAACGGTTTAAATCTTCAGATTATTAAGGCAAAGTTTTACAGCCATAAAATGAGACTGTCCTCGCGGTATTTTTCAAACGCAGCGCTTTAACCTCAGTACTTGTTTCTTTCGCTAAAGATGACGTAAGTTGGCAAATATTACTGGTGTTTTGGTGATGTGCGCACTGTCGCAGTTTCGACGTATGCCGCTTTCAGGATGAGTGAACCTATCAATAAATTGAAGCTGCTCATTCTGGAGTTTGAAGTACATGAGGTACATGGGAGTGAGAAGTCCTATAATAAGAGTTTTCACTTTGAAGGTGGAAATTTCATACCGAAACGGGAGGCCACTTCCGGTATTCTGTCAATGGCAGGTTCCGTAGATGCATGGGCGTCACATAACGGGACAGTGATATCTGCGTAATCTGTGGAATTACTCTCCGGGTGTGATTCTGCTTGGAGAGGATGCTGTCGATGACACAATTGAAAAAATGAAGAGGAGACATCCCTGGCGGACGCCAATAGTTATGGGGAAACTTTGGAGCAACTCATTGTAAACCCCAATGCGACCTGAAGTATGAGAATAGATAGCTCAAAAGCTCAAACTTTGCTGACTTTCCTCGTTGATCAACTTTGTGAGAAGGTCAACCTATGCACCTTGCTGAAGACCACGTTTGATTGCCAATCTGCATGACGCTGCTTACAATTGACGCAATATAAAGTTGTGGCCAATGTACTCGTTACTTGTTCCAAATTCTGCCTGGCGCTCGCCGACTTCCGTCTCATTCGGGTCCAGATGTCGTGGTGTTATCAAAGTTATTTGACACGCTCATCATCATCATCACTGTCAGCTGTAAGAACCGCGTACTTGTCATACAGTGGTTGTAGCTGCCACATTTTCGTTCACCGATGATTTGGGGAGATGGGGTAGATAGCTGCGCATTGAAAGTGGGAGCTGATAAATTCGTGCGTAAATACAGCACTGTCAGTGGCTGTCAAGGAAGGGGGTTGAGAAGGAAGCTATGCATTGAAGGCAATAGCCTGGATGAAAGAGCGCCTTTGAGGGCGCTGGACTGGACCATGTCTGACATTGTCTCCAACCATTGATGTGGTCCGTCTAGGGGTCCACATCCAGGAAGACGGCAATGACCAGTGCGACCGAGTTCGCTGGTAATGGCATTTATACTTTGCTGCCAAGCCATTGTTTGATCGCCTCTGACTCGTTTCCATACATCACGTGGTTCTGCAAACAGAACCCTTCGGGGAAGTCGGTCGACTGGCATTCGCAGCACGATGCTGTGTGATCAGTTTATCTATCGAGGGTGAGTTATTTCTTCCGAATACCATCCGACGTACTTCAGCATTGCTGATCCGGTGTTCCCATCAGACTCGGGCAATGCTCCGAAGACATTGATAGCCAAACACTGAAAGTCTTTTGACGTTCTCAGTGCGCAACGACCACATTTCTGATCCATATAATAGTATGAAGCACACAAGTGGAGTGAGTATGGTTGGAGTAGTCGCTCCGGACACCTTTTTTGAATAATGATACAATAGTTGATTGGAACGCAGGCTTGTTCGAAAATTAGTTTCAGTAACCTGATCTAGATAAAACACGAAGATTCACCACCGTCTTTGAGCAACGCTAATGGGGACTAATCCAGCCGGGCGGTCCGATGGCGCTTCTACAAAGAAAGACATTATTACTTCAGAAACTAATGATGAGTCTAAACTCGCAGCTCGACTTGAGAATGAAAGACATGGGTACACGAGCAGACGGCAAACTGAACCGTTGTTCAAAATATTTAGCCCAGTGATCAGGGTCCTGGTACATCTCATATCAAATTTCCAATATTATCCTTGATAATCCCTTGATAGTCCAACAATTTTTTTCTGGCCTTCCTTTGCGTATCAGTTGAAAAGTTTTCGGAACGTTCCAAGACGCAATAGCCTCCTTTTCTATAGATCTTTAATTCACCCAGCTTCTTCTATGGACACAGGCCGTGCTTGAAATTAAGTTCAGCTACTCATCTGAATGAATTATGCTCAGCGTTCGAGGGACTATGGCGTCTCGAATGGAGAAAAGTCTGACTTTTGTGCAATCCGGGTTTATTTGGTCGTCAATGTAACTGGGCAACTCGTATCCTGAGTCGTTGCCCAGGCTGTGTTTGTATGCACGGCTGAATGGGCGAGATGACTCAGTGGTTAGGGCGCGAATTCACTGACCGGAAGGTCCGTGGTTCGAACCTAGCCTCTACCTTTCGACTTCCCCTGTTTAGGCTTGGGCACTCTGGCAGAATCCCAGCGCTCGTGTTCCCTTCGGGTGGCATGGCAGTTAGGCATCGAATGATTTATAAAAGCTGCATGTCGGGTTCTGTGACGTACGAATGGCGATGCTTATTTCGCCGTTAATGCCATTGACTACTCTTGAGGATGAGGCTTTAAAGGATTCGCACAGGCCAATTTGATAACATTGCGTGTCAGGAAGGTTTTCGGTTGTCAAGTAAGGAGTTTGATTCCTCGGTCTTCAATGGGAGCTCCTCGAAGATTTACCCTGGACAATAGCGTAGTATGAATTAACGTAAGTAGCACAGGAAGACAGACAGTCAAGACTAGATACTGTGTAGCCACTCTGTATCCACGATTATCCATTAGTGGGAGAGAGAGAGCCGGAAAGCGCAAGAGCGCCCGCTATATCTGAATCCAGTACTACGGAAAGACGGTTGATGACCAGTGGAAAGCCGCGAAAGGCGATCATCACCGTCATGACATCCTGAGATGAACGGGTCAGCAAATCACACCTCTGGTGAACTGGGACGTCCCGCTTGTGTTCAGCATCACCAATGATAGGTGCAGTTTCTGACTTTTTCGTGTTAAATAGCAGAGTGACCGTAGTTCAAAGTATATGCGGAAATGAGACACAACGGATATTATCCCGGTTTGTGTGGTTCCTTATGGAAGTTGCTAAACGGACAGCACAAGGACAGTTATTTATGGGGACCCAGTTGAGTGAAGAAGCCTCAGCTCGAGAGCACAATGCTAGCAGCTTCACAACCCGCTGCAGTAGTTTCAGTCGCCTAAAATTCCATCGGTGGTAGAACCTTGACAACGAAGGTGCCGTATTTTAGGATTCCGCACATAAATCTTGTGTTTGGGTTTCGAAAGTTCAGCTAATATTTGATAACAAAGTGTCAAGAATTCAGTGAGAGTAGCTTCCTGACCAATTCACTTCAGAGTTTGGGTATTGAAATCCATAAGATATGGATGGCGAGCGGCAGAAATGGGCGGTAGTGCGCTGTCATTCATTCCTTTGAATGCAAGACTGATGTGTTTATGACCGTAATCCAGAGAATAGTGGCCGTTAAATGTGGCAGGAAGGGGATAAGATGGGTGAATGTCACGAAGAGATAACCATACTGTGGTGCGACGGTTTGTGTACCTCGGCGACCCACTGAGCCATACTGGGATGGGAGTGTCTGCACGACACTCGCAGTCTCCCGTACCAGGTTGGTCAATGGTTAGAGATCTGACCAACACTCTATCCTGGTTCTCCAGGTTGTGGGTTGGAACATGTGTGGCGACGTGTTCCGTAAAAATGGTAATTTACTTGCATTTCCAGCGAAATACTTCTGCCTTGTGATCAGGCTTTTTTATGGAGGCCTTGTTGAGGACCCTAATCATGCTCCTCTCTAGGTCTTGGCGCCCTGGCAGCATCTCATCCCACGAGCAGCCGTGAACTGCCTATATACGAATAAACCCATAACATGTCGACCGTCTCGTGGTGCCATCACCCGGGTCGCCATACTTGCTGCATACACCAGGGCGTTTAAGTTAAGGCAGGCTTCTGCAAACGCTTCCCACTCGAACTGTTCAAAGATAGGGGTGAAGTCCTCATTCTTCGCTTGCCCGATCTGTTTGCTTGCATTTGGGAAAAGGAGTATGTTACAGACAACTGGGGAAAGTCGGTGATAGCGCCCATTTTCAAAAACGGGGCTCGAAGTGAGTGTGACACCGGATCAGCTTGAATGCGGTCGTAACGAGACTGTTGGCGTCATCTGTGCTTCGTCTCCTTATGATGGCTCGTGAGACACTGACTCGAGAGTAGCAGGCGGGATTCCGGCCTGGTAGGGATTGCGTTGACTAAAGCTTAACAATCCGTCAGGTGCTAGAACAACGCCATACGTATAAGCAACCCACAATGCTAGTGTTCCTGGATTTCGAAGGCACTTTTGACTCGGTTGACCGGTCTGTTCTGCTTGACGCGCTTACCCATCAGGGAATGCTTTGGAAATTCGCGAACATAATAAGCTCTTTGTATTCCCAGGCTTCCGGCGAACTCTCGAAAAACTTCCGTAAACAAAGTGGTGTCCGTCAGGGATGCCCACTATCTCCATTCGTGTTTAACTTTGTGATCGGTGAAATCATGAGAAGAACACTGAAAGGTGTTCGAAATCACATTGTTCAAGTAGCATGCGACGGTCTGTAGTATGCAGATCACATCGGTCTCATGTTCAAAGAGAAGGTGGAGGCACAAGAACTGACCAAACTCATCCCGTCTTTTGGTGTGCACTTTGTACCCAGCGGAACTGAGACGTCTTCAGTTGTTCGACAATCGTTGTCTGAGAACGATAACCCATGTAGATTTGTATCGGATAATTCGTAACGAGGCAATTCGAATGTGAGTTTCCGGTTGCGCGACAGGAACTTCCATTGAAGAATGTGCCCAGCGCCAGAAGCTGTGTCGGTTGGGACATGTGTTGCGTCTGCCTAGCCATCGCTTGCCGAAGAGAGTGGTGTTTTTCATGCCCAACTCAGGCCTACTTAGTGCTACTTCTGTGTTTAACCTCGACCACTGTTTTCCTGTTTTAGGTTCCGAAATGCATGAACTCCCCAACGATGGCATTTTTGTTGGTACTATACCACCAGTTACTTTGGGGGAGGCCGGCAGGAACCCCCAAATGTCACAGTTTGATGCACACACCCGTGATGTTATGTCTATGTCTGGCTATGCTCAGTTCTCCCTTACTGATGAGTTGATCGACACTGCCCGGGGAATTTTCGAATTGCCTACCTTTGGTACGTCACAGATGTCTGAACTTGATTTCCGTACAACAGATAATGTTGTCCGTGGGACAGCTCCAAGTCAGTCATCTGAAGGTGGACTGGAAAGACCATCCTCCGATTTCCAAACCGCTGGAACTAATCCATGTTTAATCACATCTGGCCATGAAGGCGAGCATTCGGAACCGCTGGGACAAGTATCTGTCACGACCGCTGGTGATCTGTATGTTCCTGCTAATGGACAGCACACAAATCTTCAACCTGCAATTTATCCTGATGGTCAAACTGTCTCACAACCTGTAAACTCAGAAGTATCGATGGGTAAGTTTCTGTTCAGTCGTTTCTATTTCTTCAGGATTTCCTTCCTGTACGACCATGTCAGGTTCCGTGCCGGTGAATCACTGTGTGTACAATACTGGTCACGCAAATGAGGAGTTCTTGGGGAGGCTTCCGTCAATGCCGATATCACACCATCCACTCAACCCGACGATTTTCGAATCTTCGATTTTCCCAGATTTTACGTTCAGGAACAGTGATATGTCTTCAGAAACGTCTTTTACTCCCGACGACCTGCTTGACACGTCATTATCGAAAAGGCAAAAGTTGGTTGAAAACCATCTCTCGGATTCCACTTATTTAAGGAATGATAAACCTGTTTTCGAACGTGGATCCACGTTGGGCCTCCCCCCAAATGCGTTGAATGCCGGGTTACCCACACTACGCAGCCTTCTGGAGGCGAATGCCTCAGAGAGTAATGAATTCTGTGCGCAGAACAGTTACGATTCCCATACCTGCGTCAGTGCACAGACTTTTACTCCTGAGTCGGAAGACGGAAACTCGGTGCTCCTGCGTAGGTTGAGTGGTGCTTCCCAAAGTTTGGGAGGGGATTCTTCACACCAGGTATTCTACTCATCTCGTGATGATGAAGGTATCGCGCTTTTAAGCTCGGCTTCGAATCCGCCCTTCGCACCAGCTAATCTGTCGGTGCTGACAGCCCGTGATCAAAGCCCATCGAGAGAATCAAGCTCCTCGACAGACTTTCATCTGTCCGAACAAGAAGGTGAAGGAAGAATGTCACCAGAACGAGATTGCTTTTTATCATTTGTAAGTAGTTTTTTCTACGGTAGTCACCAACGCGCTACGCCACCAAATAGGAAACGAATAAATTTTGGTTGCCCTGACGACGGTAGCGTCGTCACTTCCACATATTTTCATCATTTCGATCCAATAGATTGTGTAGAGTTTTCAAATCTGAACTACTCCTGCCTAAAGGTGGACAGATGGAACCATCTGTAAAACCCAAGGCTGCACTGTCTCGAGTTGACGCTGGAAGCCGACAGGCTACTAGTCAGCACGCTCAACGGTAACATCGCTGACACAGCTGTAGCACTTTAAGGCTGGTTTTTAAAGATGAAAATTTTGCTGAGAATTTCAGCGTAACATAGCCATGTCAAGGCACGCACAACTACGTCTAAGCTTGGGTTCGAGGCAAGGTGACTGTTTATGATTTATGGCAAAAAATTATGTTGTAACTCATTTGCGCAAACTTGTTCAGAAAATTTTGGCGTGTTTCATTCGACTTGCGTATTCGTTCAGTTTTACATATATATATATA